TTTAAAAAATAACCATGAAAATTTCCGAAAATTTCCATGAACGTTTCCCCAAAGAATTCAGAATCAAAGTTTCTGAAAATGCCAGAAAAATTCCTATGAATGTATACAAAATAACCCTATAAAAGTTTCCAAAAGTTTCAACAAAATTAGTTTAATAAAACTTCTCAATGCACAATTTCAATAGAAAGTTTCCAAAAATTGCAATGAATGTTTCCAAATATTAACCATCACTGTTTAATTTCCTCGAATTTCCTTGAAAGTTTCTGAAAAATTAAATGAATTTTCCAAAAGATTTTTAATGACATTGAATTATTCCAATATTGTTTTTTTTACAGCTTCCAAATAGTTCTAATGAAGATTACCAAAAGTTTCCAAACATTTTTCAGTTACCCAAATGCCTCTGAAAGATTTCTGTAACATTTAACAAAAGTGATTATTTTCGATCGTTTTTTTACAACATTTTACAGGGAGTTTATAAAAACTCCAAAAAATGTCAGACGAATGTGCTCCAAATCTCAAAATTAAATTACGATAAGTTTCCATATATTTCTAATATGATCAAAGTTCTACCCTGACATTTCAGGGCCTGTTTTAAGCTACCTACTAGTAAGGAGCAATAAGTTAACCCTGAAATTGCATTTACATACTATTGTCTACGCACATAATGCTGATAACTATGTTGGCTGCTGCTATCTACTGGCTACAGGCACTCAAATATAACTCTTGATGCACTGTCCATAACTCATGACAATTCTGATCTGTGTAGACTGCAGCAAAACCCCAACACACCCTGACATGCACAAAGGTGAGAGGTTCCAATCAGTGCTAGTTGATGAGCAGAAAGACACATTGCTTTGCTTCAATCTAGCTCTCCTCTTAGACACATATTCACTTTTTAGCACATTAAGGGCCCATCCAGGGTTAAGAGAATGACTCTTGCAGAAAAACCTGCAAAGTATGACAGCTGTTTATTCAAGTTCCTAATCTGCCAGCCTCTATAATCTTTGACGAACAATTTGGAAAGCAATCTTTTATCTTTCAGTTCTCTTCAGAAAAAGTATTTGGTGGCTGAAACTAGCCGACCTGAGCAGAAGGCCACCTATAAATCAAACTTCTGAGGGAGGAGATCTGAGATGACCCAGACCAATTAATCCAATAAGGATTTGTGGGGCAGCACCTAAAGACAGGTGTGGTTTAATGCTCCTCCTGGGCTGTAAAAAATGTGACCATGGAGTACTCTCAGGAGATCATTAAGTCCCGCTCTATCTGCAGGTGTCACTACAGATAATCTATCTTCCTAACTCTTGCTGCATGACATACTGGACACTTCACCTTCCTGTCTATCATTGAGAAGCTGAATGCATTAATGAACAGGCTCATCTGTCTTCATAGAGACTATCCCAAACTGACCACTCAGTCTGATGCAACAGATATGGACTGCTAACATAAACCCACCCACAGGGTGACTACTTCTTACTATTTCCACACTTTGTATACAAGAAACCAGAGTAAAGGTTTCAACTCATGTGATCATTCAGTCAGCAAAATGCTCCCCCTCCCATTGCTTCTTTAAAAACAACAGACGGTGAAAATGGATTGCTTGCAGGGATATTAATCAATAAAATTATATTTTGTTGTCAGTGTATAAAGCATCTTGTCAAGTGCTAAACATGAGATTTGGTAACAGACGAGCAGGTTCAGTGACAAACTCGAAACTATCACAGAATTTCCTGGATAGATGCCAAAATATATTTATATAATGAATGTTACTATATTTCTTTTATCAAGTTATTGTAATACTGTGCATAATACACAGAAGTGGATAGTCTTCTGAAGTACTCTGATCATTTTCATACAAATACCCTATCAGAATGAAAAACACTTGATTACAAAAAAAAGTGCTGCATTCAAAGTTTTAGTTGGTGTGAAAGAGGTTTTGGTTTCAACTTCTTTCTTATATATAAAAACAAAACTACATAAGAAGAAAAAGTACTACAACTTTTACAATATCATAGTTTGTTGTTGAATGTTTTACAGTGAAGGATTCATTTGCCATTTTGCTCTTGTTGCTGGTTGCACTGATTATAACTAAATTCTATGTTGTCAATGAATCTTTATTTGTATAGTGCCAATCCATAACAAGTGTTATCTCCAGACTCTTTACAAAAAGTAGGTAAAAGACCTTACTCTTTGTGATTTAATATTACAAAAGAGCAGGTAAAAATACCTTACTTATTACTATATTACAAAAAGCAGTTAAAGACCGTATTCATTGCTAAATTACAAAGAACCAGCGTCAATCCATCATGAGCGTAGCATAAATTGTTGTTTCATTTTTGTCTGCCTGATTTTGTTACTACATTCTTAAGCTGCCGACAATGTCTAGGGGAAAAGTGCAATGTTTCCTTTTAATATGTAGAGTAGAAATGTGACGAATCAGATGAACCCTTATACAAAAAAAGAAATTAAAGTGCAGTTCCTCTCAACCTCTGTTTTTCTTGTTGTTGCTGTTGTTATTCTGTAGTTACATTAAATATATTGACTCAGTCGAAACTTTGCACCACTGTTGACAACTATGATTTTGTTCACCAATGATTACTTTTTCCTTTTCTGTGTTACATTAAATGTAAATCAATCGAAACCCTGCAAGATGAAGAATACACCCAAAATATGAGCTACCCTTTGACATTCAATTCATGCTTAACCTCATATGATTAAGTGAAACAAGGTTTATAAGAACCTGAAATAAAACAATCAACACACACACACACACACACACACACACACACACACACACACACACACACATAGAGAAAAAAAGTAGACTTAAGAAGATTTAAAAATAAAGCATCTCACATGAACCAATGTGATGGGGTTTACCCCCCAGCAGGCATTCGAGATGGAGGGAAATCGATATCCTCACATGAGGCTGCGACTCTATGGTACTGAAGCCGAGCACTCCAGGTAATGAACTGCCTCCTTGATATATTTCTCTCACAGGGTGGTATTGCAGTGGTGCAACATGGTACTGCAACAGCAGCAATTCTTTGATTAGCCATCTCTCTTCCATCACGCTTCCCTGGCATGCAGCAAAATCTCTCACACACGTACACTAAACAGTCCGTCAACATGTCAGCATGTCCAAATGCTCATGTGGTTCATTTCATCTTTCAGACTGCAGAGAAAGAGAAAAGTCAAATACAACCTCCAGAGTGTAGCATCATTTTCTATGTGATGTGTCAAGTCAGTTCCAGGTTTATATCACTTTTTCTGTTATGCAGCTATTGTTTCATTATTATTCAACAACAAAATAAACTCTTCTAAAATGTAATGCACATTAGTTAGTCACAAGTCTCTGTCAGTCTCCTCCTGTCAGGATCCTTGGAGCTGTTTCCTGTCTTTATTGTGTCCACTGAGAGTCAAGACAGGGTCCCCCCCCCCGGCTAGACTTGATTAAGATGATTCAAGGACAGAAGCTAAAGTCTGTTTAGGATGATAACAGAACACTTTATAGCCAGACCAAAACAACAAGGCCTCTGCAGACAGCAAAAAATATACAGACTATGCTGTGACCCTTAAAGTAATTGATGATTGCATGCCATATTGCTTAAACAATTATGATACAATTTTACTATACATGTCTGAATGTAGGTGTAGGAAAGGATATCTTAAACATGTTTTTTTTATTAAGAAAACCTAAATTTTGATTATTTGACAATGTTTGTGTGTGTGTGTGTGTGTGTGTGTGTGTGTGTGTGTGTGTGTGTGTGTGTGTGTGTGTGTGTGTGTTGTGTGTGTGTGTGTATATCCTGTATATATATATATATAATGCATACAGATGGACTAAGATGTGACCCCGAATGACCCATGAATTGCAATATTTATCTATGTTTATTCTTATGGTTTCTCACTGTAAATCCTGTATCTTAAAGTAACGCCCACTCCTATTTGCCGATTGTATATCTTTTTGTTTGTTCACTTCGACGAGCTGCACTTTGCATAGTGGCTACAAATCAGAGGGTAGTTACTCATTCTTTCGCTGAAGCAGAAAGAGTGATATTTAAATATAGGCCTATTGCTTTTTAAAGATAATATGTATCATGCACACATATGATTCCACAAACATATAAGAAAACAGTGCAGTCCATGGCCCTGCCCCATCCATTCAACCTAATAAAAGACAGGCGAGGTTCAAAACCTAATCAGCTCCCATTGATCTGCTCTTAGTGAGCCAGAAAAGAAGTATGTGGAGCAAATCTATAATCCCTTATAAGTCCTTGAGGCTGCTCCTCATGCATGATACAGTTCCTTTACTGGCCATAGTAATGAGGCTTTAAGCAGTGTGATGACTGTAAATCTGCTACGCTAAGATTGCACTGCCCCTGATCTGACTGGACCTCAGCTCACTAAATCTTAAATCCTGTGCCATAGAATAATTAACTGTCCACTCTTGAGCACACTTGCCAAAGCAGTGTGAAGTCAGCAAATGATCAAAGGTCACCACGATTTGTCAACCTATGTTTGTTGATGGGAAGTTATTTAGGGTCCCCATTTGTAGATCGACATCTGTACTAAGGTCTCTGGGTTGTATATTTGTGGTTTTGGATAAACCAAAGCTGTGAGAACAAAAACTTCTGATTCACAGTATAGACAGAGAAATAGTGTATAAATTCCACTCTGAACCTGCATAACCGAGACCTTAATAATTTGGATTTTTTTTTTTCATAAAGTTTTCAAGCAGAGTCAAATGAATAAATATCATGTGCCATTTGTTATAAATGGAGATGCTGGATTCATCCGCATACCATCAAGAAAAAAACAGTATGTATTTTGTTTGTATTGACGCCTGTCTTTACCATTCCCAGTGCAAAAGTATAATTATGGCAATGATATAAATCAAAACTTTAATTTTTTGAAACAGCAAATGGCACAACAAATGTGCTGATGTGTGATCAGCATGTAACCTACCACCAAAAAGCATCTGCTAAGGTGGTGTAAACTTGCAGTAGCTGTCGCTGATCGGAGTCCTGGTATAGGACCTGCGGGACCTGCTGGGGGAGGATAGGCTGCTGCGCACAGACGGAGCGTAAAGAGCTGTTTGTCTCGAGGAGGGAATGTTTATGAGCCGAGTAGTTTCAAAGTAGCCAAGCCGTGCAGTAACAAGTCTCGCTTTGCGGTCAGTGATCTGTTTTTCAGACATTGGCACAGTGCAAGTGTCCGAACTGTGAGGAGTCCGGCATGTCCGAAAGACAGAGAGCTGACGACCGCAGCTTTGAGGCTTCATCACTGACAACTTGCGCGGAGCAGATGGTGCCGAAAAAATGACTCGGACTCTCCCCATCCTACTCGCTTCCTTTTTCTCTTTGCTTCACGGTAAGTGTGTAGCCTCTTTCTTACGTTATATGACTTAATTATTTAGTAGGCTAGCTAATTAAGGAAGTTCAACGCTTTTATGTGTGCCTGCTCCAAACTGATTTGAGTAAAAATCCCATGTTGTTAGTGGATAGTCTTTTTGAGAGGCGTTTCAAATTATAATTGTAAATGCATGAAGTTTCAGTGCAGTACGGGTGTGTGCGTGTCTGTGTGTGTGTGTGTGTGTGTGTGTGTGTGTGTGTGTTAAGACACCCAATTTATTGCCCCTTTTTTGTATTGGAAAGTAAATATTTTTTTAAAGGGCTTATACTTTTTATTTAAATATGCTTAAATAGGCTTAAAACTTAAAACTCCTATATTCCATAAGGGACAATTTGATGAGTCTTTCCCGCCATCAAAGTTGACACTTGAGGGAGGAAGATATTTAGTGTATGAGAACAACATACAAGTATCCAAACATATAAAACAAAGAATGGTTAATATAAGAAATAGCTTCCTAAACCTGTAAAAAGAAGAAAAAAAACATCTTTATACATACTCTATAACAGCTCAATCAACCTTCGCCATGTTTTGGTTTATTCATTGGCTTCATTATGTTCTGAGGACTCACACAAGATTTTTGTAGAACCATGTTTTCAGTTTTCTTCAGAGTGACCTTATCAGCTCCGCAATGGCTGACTCAAGCAATGTATTCACACGCCTGACCTCACTCTCAATCAACATAATGTCAACATAACCCTCACTTTACAAATTCAATCTATGCACACACTCACACTCACACTCACACACTCTCACACTCTCACACACACGTAAAAAACACACACACACACACTCTCTCACACACACACACACACACACACACACACACACACACACACACAGAGAGAAGTGGCCTTGGCAGGGCAGATTTTGTATGACTGGTCTCTAAAGTGCTTCACTCCACATCATCTGTTAAAGGGTGCTGTGAGATCAGATTGTGTTTGATGGGACCTCACTAAAATGACTGACAGGGCACAGTCGTGGCAGCATGCTCTGACACATTGGGCAAAGCTGAACCCTGCTGAGCTCCAGGTGTGCTGATAATGACACACAGCAACTGAAAAAAAATACTGGGGTCAGAAGTCTTATTTTGTTCTTGTAGCATCACATAAAGCTGCACAAAATGCACATGTGCAGATTCTCTGAGATTATGCAGCCATGAAATTCACTCTGCTGACTACTGACAATAGTAGCAGTTCTTCCTCTGCAGGCCCATCATGAGTAAGTCCACTCAGCTACTCCAAACCACATGTGGGGTCATTAATAACTAGCTGCATGTAAGGAAAATGGAAGAGGTGTTGCTACATGTATTCAATCTGTTCCAGATGAGAAGCAATGATCATCAGTTTCAATCAGGCTTGAGTTCACCTCTGACACAGGCTTCATTTATCATGGAGGGAGGGAAGAAGGCGTAGTTTAAGTGTTGGTATTCTTAGCTTCTTCTCATTTCAAATGTACAGAGCATCCAAAAGTTTGGTTAAAAAGAAAAGCCGACTTCTTAACTTGCAGTCTAATCATCTCCCCTCCACCAGCAATGTGATTACTTTGATATGACTTTGCAGTCTTTAAATATAATTTCCACAACACAGTCATGTCTGGCTTTCCTAATTGACAGCTGCTGTTTTCAAAAGGACCTTGAAAGTTATATATGCAGTCACTAAATGAGAGTCTGTGGGATTCAGGTGAACCACTGAAGTAAGAAAAGTATTTTGCCAAACAGATTTGTTCACTTCCTTTTGTTTCAAGAATCTCTAAAACAAAAGGAAGTGAACAATGCAAGAGTGTAATAAAAACAGGGCAGCAGATAGCTAGCTTATGGTTCATTAGACTGCATCAAAATAGTGTGAAAGCATGGCCATAGTACCCAGGCTTCCAATCGTGGCATAGACAGGTACTTGTATCCACTACATCAGAATCAGTGATACTACCTGCCTGTTTCCTGGCCCAGGACTGGTATAAGTCCTGGAAGGGGGGGATGATTTTTTTCTGCAGTCCTTATAGTCTGTGCACAGAACAGACTGGATGATGGCGGTGTAAAACATGATCAGCAGCTCCTGGGGCAGGTTGAATTTCCTGAGCTGACGCAGGAGGTACATCCTCTGCTGTGCCTTCTTTCTGATTGTGTCTATGTGGAAGGTCCACTTCAGGATCCCAGGAACCTGAAGGAGTCCACAGTAGACACTGTGCTGTTCAGAATGGTGAGGGGGGGGAGTGAAGGGGGGCTTCTCCTGAAGTCCACTGTCATCTCCACAGTCTTGAGCGGGTTCAGCTCCAGATGGTTCTGACTGCACCAGAGAGCCAGCTGTTCCAGCTCCCGTCTGTAAGCACACTCGTCTCCGTCCTCCATGAGACAGATGACGGTGGTGTCGTCTGCAAATTTCAGGAGTTTCACAGAAGGGTCTCCTGAGGTACATGTGAAAAAAGTTGTCATTGATCTACATTGTGACACCAGGTATCAGCTGTGCTGACTCAGAGGAGCGTCTCATGAACTGGCTGCTGGGAAAGAATCGCTACAATCCACTCATCCGCCCGGCTGTCAACAGGAGCGCCAGAGTCACGGTGAAGCTGCAAGTGTCTCTGGCTCAGCTAATCAGTGTGGTAAGACACCAAATACTTCTGCCCACTATGAAGATATCTGTGTATTTATTAATGTGAGTATGAAGGAGATAATACATGCAGGGGAGACAGAAGAGAAAGACAGAATGAAAGGAAGTTGAGAGTAGAAAAGACAGAGCAGAGCCACAAAGCTTTCACAAAGCAGTTAATTTCACCGTGGCCTGCACAGAGAAGCCATAGCTCTGAAAGAATGGATGACGTGGAGGATAGATGTGGTCAGCTGTGATCTCTGCCTCTGTCATGTTCAGATTGAAACTTCAGCACATTGGATTAAAAGGGGCCATAAAGCTGTTTCAGCCACAGTGATAGAGCCTCTACTCTGATTTACAGTGGACGCTCCTCCCAGCTGCAGATCATGGCAGCATGGTTCATGCAGCCTCATTTTATGAGTTTACATTGTAATACTTGGAGTAATTTTTTTTAAGGTGCGTGTCATGACAGTGTGATGGGAGTTTTATATACAAACATGTTGACAAGCAATCTGAAATGCTTTCCAGTTGGATTGGTTTTATTATGAACTTAACCTCAAACTAGACATTGATTCGAAACGGAAGGTTCATCTGGCATTGTTTAGTAAGGCCACTTCTCTGCGCTCAAGCCTTGACTAACCCTGCTTTAGAATGTCATTTTGCAGACCACTAATAAGTCACAGTGTCAGGCCCAACAATGCAAGATGGGCTGGTCCACCAAGTTTGGTGTAAAGATACCAACAACAAAAAGTGATCGAGATCATAACCAGGTTTTCTGCAAAATATGTCTTTGAATTCAGGGAAACTTTGCATTGTGATGCATAATGATTAACAAAAGAGGAGAACACAAAAGTATATATATATATATATATATACATATAATACAAATTGAGGGTCGCTGGTGGCTCAGTGGTTAGTGCACGTGCCCCATGTATGGAGGCTGTGGTCCTCCAAGCGGGCGGCCCAGGTTCAAATCCAACCTTTGGCTCCTTTTCCATGTCATTCTCCACTCTCTCTATCCCTGATTTCCAACTCTATCCTCTGTCCTATCTCTCTATTTAAGGCACACACAAAAAAAAAATCTTTTAAATAAAGGCAAATTTAAAGCAATAACAATTACAATATATATCTAGATATAATTTTTAGTTAAAGGTATGACAAAGAACATGTGCAATTTGCAATAATCTACTTGATTTGGCGTTTTTGTTTCCCATTTAACATGAGGTGTTAACTGTTAATATTGTTGTGTATGAAGGTTATTAAAATATTTAGATTTCTGACTTAAATTAGCACTTAGCATCAGCATATTTACAGTCTTGGGTATTACAGAGACTATTTATTTTTACCTTTTTTTTAGTCTGACTCAAATGTATTTGTGCTTGAGCAAGTTCTTGGAGTAATTGTCATTTCTCTCGTACATTTCCAGAATGAAAGAGAACAGATCATGACCACAAATGTCTGGCTCACTCAGGTAAGTTTGATGAATCTCTGTGTCATAAGCTGCCAGTCAGCCTGGGTCTTGTTAAATGTCCTTCCATCTGAACTTGAATTAAACCGTATCCTTTCATCCTCTTTAAATGTGGAACAAAACACTTCTATAATTGTGCTCTAAATATATTTCACTGATAATGAAGCATGTAATGCGAATTAAGTTGGTCCTGAGACAGCAAGTAGAAGTCAGACTTGACGGACAGGTCTCTCCGTCTTTCTCTCCAGCACTGGGAGGATTACAGGTTGTCCTGGGACCCAGCAAAGTACGAAGGTATTGACAAGCTACGTATTCCCTCCAGGCACATCTGGCTCCCTGATATTGTTCTGTATAACAAGTAAGCATTATCTGAAAACCCATTTCGAGATTTTACAATGATTGCAGAAATAATAAAAAATATGCTTATTCTTTTTTTAGCCATATTCTCCAACTGATTTACTTGCGCTTCTTCAGGTTTTATGTACAGGCATCTTTAATGCACCTTTAAGTCTATCCTATTTGGTTTTGAATTTTATTTGGAATGATGCAGAAAGTAACTTTTTTCTTATCTTCCTCATGACTGCACTGTTTAGTTTATATTTTGTGCAAAAAATACCAAATAGAAAACACATGAAGAAAAAAATTAAAGCATACTGTATGTTTTGGTGGGGTATGGGTATTAAAGTTCCCTCTCTCCCTCTCTCTCTCTCTCTCTCTCTCTGCCTTTTTTTTGTCATTAGTGCTGATGGTACTTATGAGGTGACAGTCTTCACAAATGCTATAGTCCTCTTCAATGGCAGCATCAACTGGCTTCCTCCAGCGATCTACAAAAGCGCCTGTAGGATTGAGGTCAAGCATTTTCCCTTCGATCAGCAGAACTGCACCCTGAAGTTCCGCTCCTGGACGTACGACCACACAGAGATCGACCTCATCCTCAAGTCTGGGGTGGCCAGTATGGACGATTTTACACCCAGTGGGGAGTGGGATATCTTGGCGCTGCCAGGCAGACGGACTGTCAACCCTTTGGATCCCACCTATGTGGACCTTACCTATGACTTCATCATCAAGAGGAAGCCGCTTTTCTACACCATCAACCTGATCATTCCCTGTGTTCTGATCACCTCTCTGGCCATCTTGGTCTTCTATCTACCATCAGACTGTGGAGAGAAGATAACCCTCTGCATATCCGTCCTTCTGGCGCTCACTGTGTTCCTGCTTTTGATCTCAAAGATTGTCCCTCCCACTTCGCTGGATGTGCCTCTGATTGGCAAGTACCTGATGTTCACCATGGTGCTTGTGACCTTCTCCATCATTACCAGTGTGTGCGTGCTCAACGTGCACCACCGCTCTCCCAGCACTCACACCATGCCCTCCTGGGTCAAGCTGATATTTCTAGTCAAACTGCCCGCTCTACTCTTCATGAGACGCCCTTGTAATATCTCCGCACGCCAGAGACTTCGCCAGCAGCGGTGTCTGCGGGCGAGGAGAGCCATTTTGGGCGTGAGTTACCCAGTTGCATCTAAAACTGGTATCACCATGTCGTCCGCTGCCCTGCTATCCCCAGACTGTGTCTTTCCCACACCAGGGCACAAAAATGTACCTCCTCCACTGAGTCACAGCCACTGCAACAGGAAAGGAGACCTGCAGCCAAATGACCTTACGAGTTGTTTTGCTTCCACCCAAGATCTCCTGCAGAACAGAAACTCAGACTGGGCCGCCGATGTCCAGGAGGCTGTAAACGGGGTCCGCTATGTGGCAGAGCACATGATGGGAGATGATGACGATCAGAGTGTATGTAAAAACATTTCAACTTTAAAATGATATATTAAAAAAAATGGCTAAACAAAATCTCACTTACTCAGGGGTCCAAAAATTAAATAGCCCACAATTAGTCCCAAAAAGTCCAACAGAAAGCAGGGAAATTATCAAGAAGCAGAGGAAACACAACATACATACCAAAAATGCAAAATATGGCTACACACTGCTATAGACATTTTTTTTCAAATCTTAACCGATTATAAAAACAAAGGGTGACCATACAGCAAGGACAGTTCAACACATTTTTAAAAATGTAATCTTCTGAACGCACGCACTTGATAATTCAGGCAGACCGCGAGATCACACACTTGATGTTTGCGATAAGATACGATCAAACTTGACTTCAGAAGAACAAAATATGGACAACATTCAACGTTGTCATCTGGCTCTCCTGACGTGTGTTCTATTTTGCAGCGGACACAGAACTAACTGCGTTATACAATTTGTAGCGTGAGCTGGAGGTGAATTGTAAAGATACACAACGTCAAGTTATCGACGCTTCCCAGTCTGATGTCATTGGCTATTGTGTGTATTCCATCGTAGGCAGCCCAACCTGGAATCTTTCTCAGGATCAGAGAGGCTCGGACTCGATCAGGAGCAGTAAATTAATTTTATTGACACTACACGAGGATTGGGCCACGCCCACTACGTAGGAGACATTTTTACCACAAAGATGCGTGACACAAGAAGTAAAAATAAATCATTGAAATCTTATGAGTCTAAAATGAATGAAATGATCAGAAAACACAATTGCATTGCAGTTTCAAGAGTTTATATGGCAAAAAGGTTTACATTTTTAATCTAAAAACTGGTAAGGTATGAGTTGAATTAAACACTGTCCTCTTCCATTTTTGACCCAATAAACTGGATCAATAGTGTTTGTATGACATGATAACATTTACGGTAAAGTCTGTGACCTCTGAGGCACAGGAAGGAATAACCTTAAGTAGTGCCTGTGACCAGCAAATTGATGACTGACTTTAGGTAATCAATTGCTTCCTCTGATAATCAATACAATTGAGGAGGGAACCAGGCGTGAGGAATTACTCGTTCCAACAACTACCAAGGACAGGGCTGGAAATGAGGTTAAAGGGTCAATAGATTCGTCAGTGAACGTCTCTGCAATCTATAAATGGTCAATATGGAAATGATCCTACCAAAGATAACTTAATATCGTTATGTCTTTATAAATATGTTCAGTCTTTCAATACCTGAAAAATGCATTTCTCTAACAAAGCAGTATTACTGTGATGAGTGAATGTAACACAAAAATTAGAAAGATTGTAATAAAAACATTTCCCCCCTATTTTCTACAATTCATAAGCTCATAAATGTTATGTAAACCAAGAGATGTTACATAAAAGTGGCAACATGGTAAAAGGTATGACATTAAAAAGAGGAACACTCTCACACCAATTCATTCATTCACTCAGATACACTCTCTGCCCTCCATTGACTCTGCCATACTGATGTTTAAAAATGTCTGTGTACATTTTTTTTTTTACAAAAAATGTTTTACAAAAAATGTTGATTATAGTGTTTATATGTGATTTCTTTTTTTTCTTCACCTTTGCAGGTAATAGAGGACTGGAAGTATGTGGCCATGGTGGTGGATCGGATGTTCCTGTGGATCTTTATGATTGTATGTGTGGTGGGAACCCTGGGCTTATTTCTCCAACCTGTCTTCCAGACTCAGATTATTCCGAGCAAGTGAGCCAGCATAGACACCCCTCGCATGTGACGGAATAGAAATGCCACAGAGCAAATTAAGGTTTACTTAAAAAAATTATACTGTATGACAAGAAAGACCAAAAGCAGATGTTCCTCTGTAGCTATTGAGAGGTGTTTCTGTTGTAAGCTTAAAGCCTTTGCAGCCATACTGGTTGGTTGGAAATGACTACACTGCAACTCAGCATGTGCCAAACTTCACCACTAAGGCACCTGATATGCTTATACCAGACAACCACTTATCAGAGGGACCAACAAGATATAAGTCCATGATGGCACCTAAATACAATATCTGCTCTTAACCAAGACTGCAAAGTTAGCGACAATATAACCCTTTACAGGACCTGATATATTGAGGAAATGGTACAACTGAAAAGGACCCATTTCAACATCATAGCTCTGAGGTCATTTTCCTTGTCCATAAAGGATTCTACAGAACTGGACTGAATGTAACATTTACTGCATTGATTTATACTGAATTGTTGCATAAATATACCCCAATATAACAGACATATGAGGAAGATCTGCTTGCTGTCAGATGACAGTTGATTTTCTTTGTGTTCAAGATGAAATGTGATGTGTGATTAAAGAAGGGATAATAAAGGTAAAATGTGCCCTCTTTCAGTTTGATTCAATCTATGAAATCACCAATAAAGTCTTTAAATCGTCGGGGTCCAGCCAAAGTGCTGGTGCTGGTGATAAAGTTTATGCTCAGAGCCAATGCATTAGTCGAAGATGTGCCAAGAGGACATTTCATCAAAAAGGCCATCCATTCACTTGAAACGTGCAAAATGTGTGACCAGGCAAAAATAACAAATCAGTTAGAGATGGAGCTGATTTCCATTATAACGCCAAAGTGTGATCCCATAGTTATAGTTAAAGATCTGGTGCATACAATTTCTTAATAGGGCTTTAAATGTTTTTATTGATGATGAGAGAAAACTACAAAGTGCTTTCTCAAACTGTAAGGTAAGGCCAGGAAAATATAAATGATGCTTCACTAAGCGTACAAACTGACGCAGGGCTGAACCTTCAGCCACACATTTACTACTCAATAAACAGTGCTGAGTGGGCTTGTTACAGATTCTGCAGACTGTTGTTTATAATCTCGATATAGCAACAGCATCTATGTCAAGATACGCACTTGATTTCCTTTAATTTGTGTTTCAACCTTTCAATATCATTCATGTTTTTTTTGCTCTAACTCACCTGTTATCTCCCTGTCATTAATGAAGGTAGAGCCAGCGTAATCCATCATCTGTTTCAATCCAAACAAAGCAGGAGTTGTCATTGGACACTCATGGGAAGGTCCCATAAATCACGAGCCTCCCCGTCAGCAGCATTTTGTAATTAGTGTCTAATAAGATATGCATGGAAACATTGCTGTGAAAACTTTTCTATCACAGGCAGGCAGGTAACATTTATAATTATAGTTTACAACTAAGATCTACCACCATACACTCTTTAAAAATAAATTAGAGTATTACCATTTCTGTCTGTATTGATGCGATGTTTTCCTGTACCCCTCAAGTGCAGCCCCCTTCTCACTTACCTGAGGGAGTCGACAAGGCAGGGTCAGACACAAAACAGAATATCTGGTGCCAGAGAGGATTTAACATTTGAGGGCCCTGCTACAGGGCTGAAAGCACTTGGACCTCTCCATTATCCAGCTGAGGGACCGAAGTGGGAAACCACTGGGCCTGGTAGTGGCTACCCTGCTGGCCACAGAAAAGAGAAATAATATAATAAAATGGCATCACAGAGAGAAAAGGAAAAAGTCGAGAGCTAAATACATAAAAGGATATTTTTTGGGGGGGAAAAAGTACATGAGAAAATCGAAATCAATAAGGAAACTATAAATCAATCAGGAATAGTTCTAAAGCTGAAAGGCCACCAAAAATGAACCCAGCAGCACACAGGCTCTATTGATTTTTGTTGATGAAGGCTATGTGGTGATTTAATAAAGGCGTTTTCACAATGAGTGGAAACTATATGTCAACACCTGTGTCCACGGTCACTGTCCACAAGAAATGTTGGTTACACTGCATCTGTCTCAATATAAATTTAGGTAAATCCCCCTAAAATATTGTAAATATTTCGCTTAATCAACAAAATTAAAGTAAAAAGAACCTGTTTTTTATTATTGTGAAAAGTATGGACTTAAACGATTCAAGCTAATCTGCTTAATCAAGAGCGTGGTTTGATGATATTTGATTAATTAAACAGCTCTCTGACTATCATCAAAGGAAGTTACAAATGGCTAATGGTCATATCTGGTTGTCTGGAGATCACAAGTTAATCATTTCTTATCTTGAGATAACAAAGCCTGTTGTCTCTTGATTTGCTTGTTCATGTCAGATATAGCTTTGTTAAAGGGAATGTTTTTGTGTTTTATTGGGGCTTGACAAAATTATTAACTTGTGATTTTAATAAAACAAGTTTCAAAATGTTTGCATTTAAGCCATTATTATGCTGAGTCAAATGCTGCAAAATGATGGTGGGTTGTGGGGTGACGCCACATGCCCAAGCCCCGCCCATGTCTGAGCAATAAGGGGAGTGCTAGAAAAACAGAAATGTAGCTCGTCAACTATCCAAAAGTTTTTTTTATATTTGTGGGAATAATGTATAGTGTTCAATCACTCATCGTTAGAAGCTAATAGAACAATTCATTGTCCTTCATAGGCCGTTGTTTGTTTTTACAGTATTTTTTTTGTCACGTCATTCGCCTATTTGCTGTCTTGTAGCCAATGTTTGTTGATGTCTTTTTTCATTTGCGTTTTTATGCTCTTGGTGCGAGCCAAATTCCCCGAGGGGCACTAAAAGTTTCATTGATTAATTTCCTCTTTCCCTCAGAGCCTTCATTTTTAGGAACATGTAGGCTCGTAAGGGCCTGATTTAAAGCAATTTAAGATCTTATCTGTAGCCACAGGAAGTCTGTTTTGATCTTTAAGTAGCGGAACAACGTTTTCTCTTTTTGTTCTGTCTGTCACCGTGCAGTTTGCCTCATCTGTTTCACGCCTGTCCGTGTAGCTCGCTCTCTCTTTCTCTCTCTCTGTAACCCTCTCTCTCTCTCTCTGCTCTCTCTCTTTCTCTCTCTCTCTGTAGCCCTCTCTCTCTCTCTCTCTCTCTCTGCTCTCTCTCTTTCTCTCTCTCTGTAGCCCTCTCTCTCTCTCTCTCTCTCCCTCTCTCTCTCTCTCTGCTCTCTCTCTCTCTGTAGCCCTCTCTCTCTCTCTGCTCTCTCTCTCTCTCTCTCTCTCTCTCTCTCTCTGCTCTCTCTCTCTCTCTCTCTCTCTCTCTGCTCTCTGGAGCTGCTTTCACTCTCACACTTTCTCCTGCTGTCTGCTCCGAGGAACTGCTGCCTCTGACCCTGCGTGGATTCACGTCCAAGTCGTCCGTGGAAACAAGATGAAAGTCGATTTTTACTTCGTTTTACCCACGTTTTATTTACTCCTCTGCCTTCTTCCAGGTGAGTTATAAGCTATTCGTCCTAAAATAAAATAACGTTTTTATTATGTACCTACTTGTTGCTTTGCATGAAAGGGTTGAATTATTCCACTAAAATGTGCCATGAATATTATATCATATAAGAACATTTTAACATTACCTCAAAATGTGCTCATATTAATGGGAATACCATAAGAAAACCATAAAATTGAAGCAGACCAACACAGTTTGGTTTTTCACTCTATGGGATTAAAAAGAAAATGTTATTTATCAGTGCACTGAAATAGGACAAATATAATGGCTGTTATGGGCAGCTTATTGTAGCCAGGCTGGAGAGTTACTTGAGTCATGTTTCTGACCCTTTGCTCCTCTTCAGGAAGCTTCGCTTCAGATGGAGAGCACAAGCTCTTCTCTGTGATATTCTCCAGATACAACCAGTACATACGGCCAGTGGAAAATGTGTCTGATCCCGTTATTGTGCAGTTTGAGGTGTCCATGTCCCAGCTGGTCAAAGTGGTAAGTAAAAGGTTTTTTTCACAGTTTGTGTGACCGGGGCTGCTGCATTTGTAGTCCTTGTGAGTTATATGCAGCTACTTCACCATGGCCAAACATTCATCACTCTTTTGAAGGAGCAGTCAGGACCTGAGGGGAAAACAAGGAATAACACAAAGCCAGCATTACATTTGAAAGGTCTGAGCATGGGAAGAAATATGAGAACTTGGAACAACAAAGTTTTATAGAGGAGTGAACTTGTGATACCATCCAAGACAACTGAAATACACCCTGCCAGTGCAAAGCAGCCCCTGGTTTATAGTCCTGAGGAGGTACTACCAGATGAAAAGAGGCAGTGTGGCTGTTTGTCTGGACAGGACAAGATGGAAAGTGTCAGCTGTCTGAGTGCCTCTCACTTTAGGAAAGCCTCTATCACTCTATCACTGCCACTTCACATGAGCACCTCTGGATTCGGCTGCAGGTTGTGCTGAAGCTCGATGAGTGCAGGCTGCAGGGCAGACAGACGCCTCTCTTTTGACTCAGACACTTCCAGAGAGGATGTTGATAATTAAGTAAAAAGGCTTGTGTTGGACAGGGTGCACAGCCCTATTTACAGAGTCAACAGGGCTGGACACATTGCACCTCATCACATTAGCCTGTCTGTTTGTATTGAGTGGCATTAGGAGTTGCTGATCAGCTCTTTTTTCTTCGTCGGAGACTTGGAGGAGAGAATGGATAATATAAAACTAAAGGTGTGTTATTTTATTTTTAATGACTTTATTTTAATCATAGTTATTAAAATCAGAGGTAGAGCTACAGAAGGTTAAAAACTATCAAACTGTTAATACGATAGTGACAAACATACTTTGAAGAGTGTACAATTTATTTGGAAAATGCTATAATAATTAAGAATTTCTCATCCAGAAGTATGAATGAACTAGTAGCCTATATGCACAGTTTCTTATAGTCATTTCTCGTGAACGTGTGGGGTCTGACACATTGCAGCCATCCTCAATCTGTTTTCCTTTGCCTGTGTACAGGCAAAGGAAAACAGATTGTGTTGATGGATGACCGTTATTCCCTCCCTACACCTGCGGCTCCTTACACAGATGCAATTGGTATTGGTCAGCCCACAACAATTACAGTCGGGCTGCATGAGCTCATTAAGACCATCAATATCTCATTGCATGTGGTGGGTCAGTCATCATCTCACAACCAGGGTTCACTTGACAGGCTCTTCGAGGGAGAAGAACAGGTGACAGGTGCATGTACTGAAAGAGACTGTCATTTAAATAAGGTTTGACATGTCAGGAAATTGGCTTATTTACTTATTTTTGCAAGAGATAGATGAGACATTTATCCCACTCTCAGGCTTTCCCTCAAATATGAGGCTATAGACAGAAGCAGATACCTAGCACAAAGACTGAAATAAGGCGAAAAAGCTTGTCTGGAGTGATCCAAAGGTAATATAGTCTGCGAAATAAGTACCTCTAATGATCATTTGAATATTACACATATTTTTTGTTTAATTAATAAAGAGTAAAGACAATTTCTTGGCAAGAATTAAAAACAATTGTTTAGTCTTCCAAATACCAAACTGACACTTTTTAAGTCTTATTCTTGATCATCATGTAACATCAATTTTTTGTACAAATACAGTACCTAAGATGAGGTCGGCACGCAATTGTCCAACAAGTGTAAAAACCATGCTGCAAGAGAAACATTATCCGATCTATTATTCTCATTCCTGATGAAAGCTAAACAAGTAGTTCTTAATGAATCCTTCTGCGATCTGAATTCAAAGACTTCCTTGTGTGTATCTGCACTATGTCTGATTTGGTGATGAGATACAGGATGCTCTACAGAGCTTTCAAAGTGATATCGAATCAACATTTTTCCAAAGCTAATCCAATAAAGTTTGTCCAGCAGCCATTTTTCCACCAGTGCTCACCAGCCATGTACATCCTCTCCTGAATACTACATGTTAACATAAATACTTTATGTTCTGCACTGGGTCATGAGATTTGTTCATTCACGGTCTAAGTCACACACAAACCTATCTCACACACACACTCCCCCAGTTAGTCCCTCTGCTCCAGCTTTACCACTGAGTTATTAGGATAAAAAAGTAAACCCAGTGCTGTGACCCCAAAGATGTCATGTGGGCCATGCTGCAGTCGTGGAAGACTCAGGTGTGCTGCTCTTAATCCTTCTGTCTGGGATTCACAGACGTCCGACAATCCAAACATTGTTTCATTTGTATCTTGCCTCTTTTCTATTGCAAATGAGGGTTCTCCCTCAATGTGTTTTCTGAGGATTTAAATAAAATAAATGATGATGTAACAGTATGATTGCCTGTGACACTGTTTTTCCTGTTTAAACTCTGAAATGTTAAGTTTTTACTGGTTTTTCTTTGCTAAGAAGTCTTCATCATCATTGTTGCTGTTTTCCCAGGATGAAATCAATCAGATCATGGAGACAAATCTGTGGCTGAGGCATGTAAGTTTATGGCGCGTGTCTGTGCAAATAGACCTTGGGCAAGGACATCAAGTATGGATCCAGCCTTCTGTCATACATGATTCTTGGTTGCTAGACTGACAAGATGAATTATTCATGGAGGAAAGGTCTTTAAACACATTGATCCCCCTGGCTCTCTTTTTGAAAAAAGAAAAGAAAAAGAAAATCCTATGAACCAAATGAACCTAGTTTTTATGATCAATTAGGTGTTTATGTGTTTTAAATAATTTGACAGTGGTCTTAAATGTAAAATACTTACCCATGTCAAAATGTTGGTCTTTGTCTTTCTGACAGATAACATCTATGGCACACTGTGTGCACTACTATTCCATAATTACACAGAACAAATCTACATCATGAGTGAACCAGTTTCATTATGCTGTAAGGCTTCGTGTTTTGTCATCTACTGGGTCCCATGTCTGCCATGCTGCATTATGCAGTGAAACAGTGTAGCATCAAATGAGGCAGGGCAGGTCTCCAGGTCCCATATTACAAGTGCTGAGCAAATAAACATCTGTGCTGGAGCCATTTTCATGCTGCAATTGCTCTTTGGTGCTGAGAGTTTAAACACTGTTGCACTTATTTTAATGTGATCTGTTGTTTCAGTGTCTCTCAAAGCAATGTAACAACAGCTGGCCATTCAAACCTCACAGCAGACTATGGAGGTTTTTTGTTTCTTCTTAATTAAGTGAGTTTTTTACAGCTCTACATGTTGCTTTATGAGTCCCAAGATCATTCTCTGTCCTCAAAGGAGGGACAAAACAAATTGTCCAAAGGGTCCATAAAACACAATGTAAGCTGTGCTCCATATCTCTCAGTTTATATCTGTATTATCTATGTTTATATGCTGCAGTTGGACGAAGCATCTTGTCATTGTTTTTACGAGGACATTTCTTTCCCCCAAAATTAATCCATTTAAAATGAGCCAGAATACATTCATAAAGTAAAATATGATCCCCATGAGGAAACAACTAGTGCCTGCTAGCTTTTATATCTAATTTTAGATTATAAAAACCCTGTTTTGTTCATATTACTTACCTACTAAAAGCTAAACCAAAGATGCTAGCATGCTAACAATAGCTTTTAGCTGTAACTAATACAGCGACCAAGTATAGCTTCACAATGTCACTAGCCAGTGTGGTCAAAGGGTAATTGCCATAATGTGGACTGTTGCTTTATGATTGTAAAATAGTTTGTCTTGTAGGTATTTGTATGTTTGTATCTTTCATGCCATGTGTTTCAAATAGCAGTGGTTACATTTATGAGTACTAAAATGTCTTGGATTCTTTGAATAATAAAAATAGGGCCTTCATTGAGTAGAAAAGTGGATACATTTCATGATTGTTGCCAACTTAACATGTGACCTTAAGTCTAATTAGTTGTTTTTATATGAACTTAAATCAAAAAAAGAGTCAAGGGACGTGTTCTTTTGAGTTTTACCAATTCAGGATTTCATTAAACCCCTAAAAAAGAAACCTCTATTGTAGATCATTTTTCTCTAGACATTTTTATTTTATTTTCCTACAAGTCTTAAATGTAAATGAAATATTCTGTTGTTTTTTTTTGTTTCAGATATGGAATGACTACAAACTAAGATGGAATCCAAAAGATTATGCAGGCGTCGAGTTTATCCGAGTCCCGTCCAATAGGATTTGGAAGCCAGACATTGTGCTATACAACAAGTGAGTGTAACAGCTGATTAAAAACCTGGCTTAACATCTTCATTGATTGTTTTTTCCGTTTGCTATGAATGATGGCTAACAATGATAAACTCTGTGTCTCCATATTTTGTATGGGTCATCTTTATTGTTGCATAATCTTAAAGGAGTGTAATAGGAACACCTGATTGTGTAGCATATTAAAACTACAAGGATTTCTCCTCACCATCATCAATTGATAACATTCTTCTCTCTAATCTTCAATCACTCATTGGTCTCCAACCCCTACTCTTCCTCTTTTACTCTTCCTCTCTCTCTTATTCTGGGAACAGTGCAGTGGGAGATTTCCAGGTGGATGATAAAACAAAGGCCCTGCTTCGTTACAATGGTGATGTCACCTGGATCCCTCCGGCCATATTCAAGAGCTCCTGCAAGATCGACGTCACTTACTTCCCCTTTGACTATCAGAACTGCACCATGAAGTTCGGCTCCTGGACCTACGACAAGGCCAAGATCGATCTGGTGCTCATTGGCTCCACAATCAACCTCAAAGACTTCTGGGAGAGCGGCGAGTGGAATATCATCGATGCCCCAGGTTACAAACACGACATTAAGTACAACTGCTGTGAGGAAATCTACACAGACATCACCTACTCCTTGTACATCCGCCGCCTGCCACTTTTTTACACCATAAACATGATCATCCCCTGCCTCCTCATCTCCTTCCTCACCGTGCTTGTCTTCTATCTTCCGTCTGACTGCGGTGAGAAAGTCACTCTCTGTATTTCTGTCCTTCTGTCTTTAACTGTCTTCCTTCTTGTTATAACTGAAACTATCCCCTCCACCTCCCTTGTCATCCCCCTGATCGGCGAGTATCTCCTCTTCACCATGATCTTTGTCACCCTCTCTATTGTTATCACTGTTTTTGTTTTGAATGTACACTACCGCACGCCAAAGACACACACAATGCCCTGCTGGGTGAGGACAGTCTTCCTAGGACTCCTGCCTAAAGTAATGTTTATGATCAGACCAGAGCGGGAACCTGAGAATGTGACAGTGGCCAGCAGTGCTCAGATGATCCATTCAAGGCCCTGTGCCATTCATTCCTCAAGTACCTTACAGAAGCAGCACAAACCTCAGGCCCTGGCCTCCAGCGTGGTGTCCACCCTGACAAACCGTCATCGGCTTTTCAACAATACTGAGCTCTCCAACTTCAATAACTTAAGTGGAGACCCAGGCGATAGTGCAGGATCCGCATTCATTTGCCGGGAGGGCCACTGCAAATGCTGCTGGCACCAGAGATCCAGCAAACTGCCCGCAGACTCAGGGGGAGGGACTGGAGGGCTGGGCAGCCTGGGGGCGCTGACAGGAGGGGGAAGTGCTGTCGGGGTTGGAGGAGGGAGTCAGTGCTCCAGCTCTGAGTCTCTGGATGTAGGATTAATGTCCTTGTTGCCGCTCTCTCCTGAGGTCAGGGAGGCTATTGAGAGTGTCAAATACATCGCAGAGAATATGAGACTGCAGAATGAAGCAAAGGAGGTGAGTGCATTTAAAACTGTACCTTTTTAAAACCTGTAAAACAAAAGAAAAATGTTAAACAACCTGAACACTTTTTTTTCACTGTGATCCTCTGTCAGGTGCAGGATGACTGGAAGTACGTGGCCATGGTTATCGACAGGATCTTCCTCTGGGTTTTTGTGCTCGTGTGCATCTTGGGGACAGCTGGCCTCTTCCTCCAGCCTCTCTTACTTTTAGAAGATATTTGAGTAACAAAACAAATACTCCAGACTGTTGAACTAGAGGACATTGTTTTCATGTAAGACTCTCAACCTGGCTCTGAGAGAGAAAACAAAGAGTGAACCCAAAGCAAAGAAGGAAAGTGACTGTGCCAAATGTTGACTCGAATGTTTTCTGTTTGTTTTTCTGCACAAAGTGATGATGATTTTTGTTTCTTGAAGTGGTTCGAGGGCTCTGCAATGCTGAGAACATGGCTGAAAGACAATGGCATAGACCAAAGTGGGTGGGGATCTATTGTGTACAATATAGTCACAAACTGGCAACGTAATCTTCGATGCTACAGAAAAGAAACAGGAAATAAATTCAATAAACTTAAAAGTACCTCTTATACAGTTTTTATTTGTATTTGAAATACACACATTTTCCATGTGTCTGAGAAATGAGAAAGGACTGTGTTCAAAGACTGCCATCATGTGGTAATTCTGTGCAACTGCAACTGCTAAAAAGGCTTGCTACCTGTTTGTTTTTTAAGGACGTTTTAGTATGTCATATGAGCTGTGGTGGCATCTTCTTAGGGATAACATTTAACCAAAGTACTGGTATTTTATTTTGTTGTATCCTTTTCATTTCTTCCTACATTTCATGTTTATTCAATGCATAAAGATAACGGATGTTGGATCTACATAGAACTATCTGCTAGATCAGATGAGAGAAGAAAATGTCACTTCTTGACCATGTAAAATAGATTTACGTAATGCCCTGAAAGACTTTGATGTGCAAGGAAAAGATTTATACTTAAATATTTCAGTGCTGTTTTTCTCACATATGTCACTAAATAAATCTTTAAACAATTATATTAAAGTGAGATGGATCTGCTTATGCAACAATAGCTATGGGGTGTACATGTATGGGGCACTGAGGCTCTGTGTATTGCTCCATATGCTCTAGAAGCTAACTCAGCTAATTGAATCATGATCAATACAGAGAGTAACTGATGAAGGACCTTATTGGATTTCTCTATTTTCTTCATCAAACCACTCTTCTGGCCAAAATACATTTTTCCACTCTGACTCCATGGGGTCTGTTCTCTTTCTAAGCTCTGTTCTAACACAATATGTCTGCTGCTGTCAGTGGATGTACAGTACTAATCGATATTATACTGAAATCACAGTCGTCCTGTTTGATTCAACATAACACAGACTCTCTACACACATAGAGGTCCAGGTATTGAATAAATACTAGTGCAGGGGTCAGATTTGAAGAAATGAAGCTGATATTCCCACATGCACTGTGGATATCTGTGTCAAAAGCCTCTTTCATGGGCTCTGTCTTTCACTGTGTCGCTGTCAGATTCTCATTATACAACTAAAAATCAGAGCAGATGGCGAGCTATGTGATTACAACAAAAACCTGCCTGTATTAATTGAAAGCTGGCAGGGTCGCACAGACAGATATAGTGTAATCGCTCGCTGTCACATTTGATAAGAAATCTAGCTAATGAATTTAATTCAAGCTGTTCAACAGTTACTGTGTGATGTCAGACATAAAGATGTTTTTAAATGACGAGACCTCTTGAGAAATAATTACTACTACTACATACTCTGAGTATGAGGTAAAGGACGAACAAATGATGTTAATTCAAAAAATACAAAACCAAATTTAAACTCTTGGTGTTTAAATTTAGAACAGATGTGTTTGAATGTCAGCAGGCATAACAAAGAGGAAGAAGTTCGAAGTTCAGTTAGGTAGTGCAGGGTTTCATTTTCAATGGTCTGTAAAACAAGAACTTGTTTCATAAGGTGCAGGGAGTGGAGGCTTTCGAGATCCCGATCATGAATTTAATCATCATTTTTCTTTACAAGTATATTGTCAAACTATTTATTGAACTTTTTTTTAAATTCAATGAACCCTTGCCTTTAAGTATAGCAAAAAGTTTTTCTTTTTCTTTTAGACGGCGTCACAAACCTTGTCACAAGCCAAAGTAATGGTAAGCTTCCATTCATTAGTAAACATTTGTACATTTCTTCTAAATATCTTTGTTTGGCATTAAATGATTTGTAATTCAATATCTGTTTCTGTGTCAACCGATCATTGCAACAGATATTTTTCCTGCAAGGATCCTGGCCCATCAGAAAACTATCAGCGAGAACAGTGACCTTTATCTAACCTGCAGCACATTTGGGAAAAAAAGCATGGAAGTTTATGTTTATTTATGCAAAGAAGAGATTGGATTTGATAAGAAAGTGCAGAAACAAGATCTACATGACACCACCTTCATCATACAAAGAGTGAATCGACACGACAGTGGGAATTACAGCTGTGTTTACTCCTTCAAAAATGATTTAACCAACCAAGCTACCACGAGAGGACACAACATCATTGAGATTCTAGTTATAGGTTTGAATTTTTCATTTCAAATAAAGCATGATATCAGTGTTATATACCTCCACTCAATTTGCTTTATCTTTCTGCTGCACAGCCAACTTTCTCCCTGGAGATATTTCAGTAGTCGGGGCATCCACTGTCAACGAGGGAGACTATGTTGAATTCAGGTGCACTCTTTCGGTCACCCTGCAAACAATCAGAGAATGTCAGCTCATCCACTCGTACCTGTGGAGAAATGACTCCATCCTGCAGGTGCAAACATTTAATGTCTCAAAGATGGAGGCTACTTTCACCATCCAGGGCGCAGCCATGAGAGATTCAGGACATTACAGCTGTGTGGTGCTCCCATCTACATGCATCAAGAAGCATGAGGAGATCTATGGAAACAATGCTGTAATCCTAGAGGTCGAAGGTCAGTATAGTTTTCTACAAATCACAAAAAATACTTAGTTTAAAAACAGAAATATGATCATAATGTTGAACTGCCTGTGCTGCTTTTCAGGGAGTCTCTTCTTCCGAGTGCTTATCTCTGCTGGAGTGATAAGCCTGATTGTATCTCTGGGTCTGGGTTTCTGTCTTGGTCTGTGGTGGATCAACAAACAAGGTCAAATAATATGAAACAAATTATGTAGATATCCAGCAAATTCAAATCCAAAAATAAATATCTATATATTCAGCATATATTTTAAAGCGTTTTTTTCATGTTATATTGTCTATACCTTGGAAGTATGCATGTTTTATTTGCCTACAATTTATGAATTCATTCGTTTGTTTCACCTCATCAACAGGATCAGCCTCAGCTTCGTGCAACCTTAGGTAAGTGTTCAACAAGTCTTACTGATTCTGTCTGATGACTAACAGCATTCCGAAATATGATACAAAAAAAAAGATGTCTGATGTCTGTGTCAAACAATGCTGAACTGATTAAAGAGCTTGTTTTACAGTGCACAGATACAGCAGGCAGATTCGAACATGTGGGAGATACAGCAGGAGCAGCAAGCAGAAGCAGACAATATGGAAACACAGGATGGTATGTTGAAAATAGAATTACAGTAAATACATACTCAGGGGAACCTGTGATTGAATTATCTTTGATGACTTGAAAACATCTAGAAACATTCTACCCAGTCTGAAAACAACAAGAGCATGAACAGTATGAGACATAACTGAGATGGTCTTACTTTGTGTTTTTATTTTATCTTGACTTCAGCTGAAACTGTTTAATCTTTTCAGTTTATCCCTCAAATCAAATGACACAATGGATTAAAGATTAAGGCTTTCACATAACATATGATTATAATAACCAAAGAATGCATTGTTATTTTCTTTTTGGAATCCTTTAAACAACAATAATATTACACTGTTGTTATGAATATTGGGACATATTCAAAGCGTTATCTGCCAAAAGTAATCCGTGGATTTCTGTCTCTTACACTGTAAACTCTTCTTTCGTGTAACAGATGAATCTTTCAGCACGGAGGAGGAGGAGGAACAACAACAGTAAGTAATCTCATCAATTTTGATTAAGAAAAATGTTTACCCCAGTGCCTTTTAATAAATTAGATTAAAAAAAATATCTGTTATATTTGAATGTTTAGACAGAGTGACTTGTTAGAAAACGTCTACAGTTCATCTTGCTTTATTATTATTACAACTTTTATTATTGTTGTTATCTATTTGCAACATTTTGTCAGTTACCAGAATGGCATTGTGGCTGAGGAAGCTGACATCTTGGACCCTGAAGAGTATGAGGATTTGTACAGTGTTGCAGGTGAGAGAAGTGCTTTGTGTTATAATCAGTATTTTAACTTCCTCTAGAAGTCTCTTGGATGAATTTGGGTATCTAACAAATAGATGACAGTGACTTCTTTTGATTGTTGAGTTTATAGTGAAATGTTTATTTATCATCTTAATTCTGTATTCTCATATATAATGACAGAGCAGTTAACAATGTAACAAGTGAGCTTGTCAAATGAAACTTTTATTTCTATTGTGTAGATGTTATTATTTCTTTGCTTACACTGCTGCTCTATAAAAAGATAAATGAGCAGAAAACACATAAGAAAGCGTTCTTTGATTGTGAGGCTATAGGGCTCAGATAAGGGATTCTTGCTTTCTGTCAGTGAGTGCATGTTACAGGAAAACCACAACTTTATTTGTAACAGATGTGAGCAGACCTTTGCAGCAAGTTTTCTAACCCACAAGAGCTAATTATGTCTGTTTGAAAACGAAGAGTATAACCTATCGTGTTAGTTAATCGTGTTAGTTAACACAGATAACACTGGGCCTGTCTTTAACCTGTGAACTTCTCAACCACAGATGAAGGACCCCTGAGACTGGATTTGTATTCCACGTCCATCAAACTGAACAAATGCCAGCCGTATTGATTCAATTTCACTTCAGTGCATCATTATACAACCTGTTTGTTCTGTTTCTGTGTAATCTGTGTTGTAAGGGTGAGGTTTTTTTTTTCTACCTTCATTTTTTTCATTTTAAATAAATGAATGAATGTGTTATGTGGAATATTAAACAGCTTTGTCATAGTCTAGTCTATCAAAACAGAAAATAAAGCTATAAGAGGAGCTGCTCCTTTTTCAAAGCTGATAAGCTCATGTCAAATTTAAACATGGATCCTTTTTTTCATTAAGCCGACTTATAAACCTTTATATCAGTTGAATTAAAAGAATAGCGTCTGCTGTATTGAACTATAAGTGCTTGATAAAATATACAGAAGTTTATCATTTGAGAAAAAGAGAATGACTAGATGAAGAAAAGGTGTTTTGCTTTGTATTGAACAACATGGAAAGCAGATTGTAACACTTGAAACGTGTTATCAGACACATATGTTGTTGGTTGTATCCTTTGTCTATTCATGTAAATATTATGCTTACAGAAATAAATCATATTTTTCTGCTGATTCATTGAGACGCACCATACCACCATGTGTAACTCTGTATCAACATTGATTTTCATTGTAACACTGCATTCATTTCTCCTCCTGTGGCTGCACTATAATTACTATACTCAAATATTTAACATCATAATTAAAACCATTAACGGCTGATTCTGACACAAAACTAAAAAAAGTATGTTTCATGTATTATGTCATTTAAAAGGAAAACAATTTCTACAACTGTACATGTAGTATTAAAAATTTGTGTTTTAGGTCAAAAAAGCTACACTAGATGTAACTATTGTTATTATATTCTCCATCTGACGAGCTGCCAATCAAGAGAAGAATCAAATGTATTTTGCTACTTTCCATCTCTCTTTCTTTAATTCTGCAGCTCTTGGGACAACACAGTGAATCAACCTACATAAAGAATGGAGTAACCTGTCAATTATTAAAATGGAGGGGAGAGGGGTGTGCATTTCTGTTATTAACCTCTGAACAAAGAGACTAAAAGCTTAAGAGCCATTTTAACAGCTTTACTCAGATAAGCTGAAAATTCACATACCTTTCTCAAAAGTTTTTCTTTGGTATTTTTTCAGTCTGAGCGAACGAGGTCATTTTACGTAACAAGTAAAATCAGGACTACGAGCCTGCGATGAAAACCTAATCAGAGGTCTAATTTAAAGGTCTCTTCTAAAGAGCACCTCAGTGCTCACAGAGCCGGCCTAACCAGAATCTACACATAGGGTTTCCCATCCCCTTTAGAAGGGGTTTTGCCTATCCCTCCTTGTAATATGTTTTGAAACATCTGCATTGGAAAAAAGAACATATTCCTGGTCTTTGTAGGAGTTTTGCATATGCAATCAAACCTTAATTCCTGTACTGTACCAATGGCTGCTGAGGACCCTGAGGTGCAGTAGGGGAATTAAGTGGAAGCTTTGTTTCTTTTTTTGTGTAGATGGTGAGATGAAAGATATAATAAATTGTAGTGAGAAATAATGAATTACATAACCTCTCTGTATTGTTCCTGCAGCTAGTTCTACAAATAGAAGGATACAGTTTAGTGTCTTGCTGTTGTATCTTTTTCTTTGGCATGATTTGGTAGCCTATCGCCTTGAATTAATTCTAAAATTGGCCCCATGCTAAGGGCATGTTCTTGTTTTTATAGATGTAATGTGTATAGCCTTTGAATGATTAGTCACGTTTCATTTTATTTTTACTCCTGGTAGTGCATAAACACCTAATTAACATCAAAACAGTTATTAGTATGAGAAGCAAAGCTCCAGCCAGGAACACAAAGACATCAACAGAGTAGTAGGAATACCAGGGTAGCTTGTAGGACTCTGTTCTCAGATGAGCTGCACCTTTGTGTCTCATAACAAACTCTATCCAGAAGAGGGCGCTATCCAGAGGCTTAATGGGAGTATCTCTGTGCAGCCTGGAGAGTCTCTGCATGTTCATCCTGTATGAGGGCTCGTTCAGGACTCCCTGTATGGTCTTCAGGAAGGTGTCATCTTTGTCCACAGTAGCTAAGGTAAGAATCTTAGCTGCTCCTCTCTCTTTGAGACGCAGCAGGTTGTCATATTGGTCAAAAAACAAAGGCAGACCCACAACAGGGACTCCGTGATAAATGGCTTCTTGAACTCCGTTTGTTCCTCCGTGCATCACGAATAGTTTTATCTTGGGATGCCCTAAAAGATCATTCTGTGGCATCCAGTCGACCAGCAAAGTGTTGTCACCTAAAGATTTTGGTTTTTCACCTTTATGTCTCCAGATGACTTTCTGAGGCAATTTAGCAAAAGCTGTGGCAATTTCGTTTGTCATGTCAGCAGGAAGTTCATTTACAAAAGTCCCCATAGACATAATAATGACTCCATGCTCACCAGAACTCTGCACAAACTCCTCCAGGTCTTCAGGAAGTGGTTTTGCAGGTTTACACTGAAACCCTCCCATGTAGATGACATTAGGCATGGTGGGACGAGGGAACTCAAAGACAAAGTCCACTCTCATGAGCCACAGATCTGCTCCCTGTAATAGGTCTCTAAATCTAACCTCTGAGCCAAAAAATTCATCACAAACAGCCTGATACTGAGGGTTGATTAGGAATCCATCCTGAGCTTGCCAAATGAAGTAGAAAAGAAGATTTTGAAATCTTTGTTTAAAACTCATTGTGTCTGACAGTCCTGATCCAGTCATTGGGATGTAAGATAAAGGAGAAGGTGCAATTGCCATATGTCCCTCTCCACTTGTGATCCATCGCACGTTATAAACCAGAGGAAGCTTCAGAGCATGAGCCAACATTATACCTGCCCCCCATGCAGGGTCAGTGAGGACCAAGTCATAGTCGCGCGCCTTCAACCTATTCATCAAGTCTTCATCTTTGAACATGCTCATAGCCATATTGCAGGTTATTCTGTGTATGTTGTACATGGCATCAAACATCTCCAACTGCAAACTTGCAAAGGTCCAAAAAGAGCTCTCCCCCCTCTCAATGTGAAAGATCTTTTTCAGAATCGGGTTGACGAAGTCGTGGTTGAAGGCTTCAGCGACAGGGACAGTGATTGTCTTGTAGTGTGGGAAGCCGTCCTTTATGTACCAGCTTTGATTTGTTCGTACAACATCAACCGAGTGTCCTTCAGAGTGCAGAGCTTTGATCATGATGTCCATGTTCACCCAGTGGCTGCCCTCTAAAGGGACGATCAAAATCTTACCTCCGTGACATGTCCTCCATGTTAAAAATATTGTACACAACAAGAGAAGAAATGTTGCATTTCTGTTATGGAACATCTTCAACCTGAAATAATAAAAAATAAATAAATACAAACAATTTGTAATCATCATGGGTAAAAAAACGAGCTGTGTAAAGTTCACTAAGAATCAGTCTAATCTGAGACATACCTGTTTAACATGAGGTAGCCCCGGGCTGCATGTGGTTGATAGTGGTGTGGACCACCAAATGTACTCCTGAATAAATAACTACAGATTCCAGAAAAGATTATGTAAGTGGACTTTGGATTAGCTTTCCATTGGAATTTGTGCCCTCATGAATGTACTACTGTGTGAGCTCTTAGTTGAAGCTTTTGGTAGAAACATGTTACAGCTGTTTATAAGTAACCCTTTATCCCAAGAAGCATTTCTGTGGTAGGAATTGTAAATTTATATTGACAGTGTACTCTTCTTAGGATTTGTCTTATTCATTTTACCATTATGGCCCCTACTTATCCTGACTGTTGGTATTGTCTTACTACTAGAAAAAAGGATCCTTTATATCTACCTGGTCTTCTTTGTTTGTATTTGGCCTGTTGTTGTGTTGTTATCATTACTGTTATAATTATTAATTTTCTGCATTTCATTTTATTATTGTCTTTTCCTGTATTGCCTTGGACTTTAGATAATGTAATTTGTGTGGACTTTATTTTCCTGTTTGCCCGTGTTAACCCCAGGAAGACTGGTTGCTACATTGGTAGTGGATAAATATTTGTGGTTACACATTGTACAACTCTGCACTTGAACACATTGATTAACAGATAATTCATCCTTTCTTTATCCCCATATCAGGTTCATCAGATGAGTATTGCATTGCTCGTTTTTTTTTTTTTTTTTTTATCTCAGTCTTCAGAAAATCTTCCTTGTCTGAAGAAGTCTTAGATTGCTGCCTTGATGTAATTAAAAACGGCTTTGGCCACGTATCAAATAAAAACGGTCCTAATGCTAAACCTACACTAAAAGATGTTATAGTTTGCTAACAGTATTGTCTCAACTCTAACCACGCTCCCTAAACTATGAGTATGAACTATTACCATGATCATTTTTAAACAAGTCAATCCAAAAACGAAAAATGGAGCTTAATCCCAGATCAAGAGGGTTGAGGTCTCTGAATATTTGTCTGTTTGAAAGTTATTTCAAATGTATGCATCTTTATATGTTGTCTTGAATTTTTATGCTGTAAATTCAGATTAATATTAATTATTTATTGGCTAAAGGGAGCTGCATTAATGCGAGTCAAACTTCAAATGTCAGACACAAAAGTCATGAATCAATAGACTTTCAAACCCATTGCTTTATGCTGGAGTCTGCAGCATCTTTTCTTGGATTTGTTTTATCCATCTAAATCAAATCTGAATAAAATATCAAAAATACATTCTCTATCTGTAATGGTTTTGTTCATCACTTTTTAATTACATTCTCTACATTCAGTGTAGTAGTAACCAACTAAAATGTTGCAGATTTCACAACCTCGGTCCCAAACATGTTCATGCTCGTCAACGTGCCTTTGTTGCTTTTTCTTTTTAGCTGTAATGTTACAACATGGCCATGCGGTGGCAGTGCAGGCTCGACATAGGCTGACAGCGTCTTCCTGATTATTGGAGATGTTGTTAGTGGTGAAGAGAACCTAAAGGCCTTTATAACATGTCTCTGAATCACATCATCTGAGGTATCTGCATGCAGCATCAATCAAATAAGATCTGTTTTCAGTTACACTGAAGCTAAGTCTTGGTGCTAAGCTACAGGTAGGCTAAAAACATTGTGGACCTACGTTGTCTTTGTACTGATCTAGAAAGGATAGCTTTGCAGTCCTCAGGAGAATGTGTCCTCAGGCTGAAAGGAAGTGGTGCCTGAGAAATTCAAGTCTTGGCAAGAAAGTCGACCTCTCCTTCTCCCACGCACAGTCAAGTGGAATAGAGAATCATTTAACCACGTGGGTCTCTAAAAAGGAGTGCTGAACCTGTGTGCAGTCTGAATGATCGTCTGTACATTGTTTTTATGTAACTTTGGAATTCTAAGTGTACACAGAAGTAAACATATGTCACAAAGATACAGGTTTTTATAGTAGTTATCTGTGGTTCTTTTTTCAGCATTATGTTCCAGCTCTTTAATCACATTTCACATAATTACCTTTAAGAATATTCTACAGAAATATCAATATATTAATGACACTTGCTGATGCCATGATATGTATGTCTTTGTAAGTGATTAGAAGTTGAATCACCCCTTTTGTTTGGAGCATGTTCCATGAATAAAGT